AATTGAAATGCAATATCAATTGCTATCTACTGTCTTCCTGATTACTCTTTTGTTCTCTCGACTGTTTTCTAATTCTTACACACCCAGTAAACCTTGTGTCTTAGTAGCTTTACTGCCTTGCTTGGGGTGAACATGATTTAACAAAAAAAAAAAAAAAAAAAAAAAAAAAAAAAAAAGTTGATTACAAATTTAGTTTCTTTTATAACAACTGATACAATTGTTAAGCATTTTACAGTATTAACAAAGCAAAACTAAGTTAGTCATCACAAAATCAAGATGTCAAATACATAGGGTTAAATTCCAAGCACAGAATCCATACTAGGTTAAATGCTACAAAAGATATTACAATGGCTACAGCTGAGCGAGAAATTTTTGTCTAAAATAATATGTGTGTGTGTATGTGTGTGCAGGTTGTATAATAGTATGCAAAACAAAAGTGAAGATGATGAAACAAAGTGAAAAATATTTAATCAAAAATTTTCCACTTTGTCTCATCATATATATAAAATAAACTTCAAACATTATTATAGTGGATATTTATTTGAAATAGATGGCTTATTTTTATTTATTAAACAGTGCGTATTATGACTATTACAATTTCAAATAATTGTCCACTATAATAAAGTTTGAAGTAATAAATAAATGTTTACAGTAATATATATATATATATTTACACAGAATTAATGGATTTATTTTTAATCCAATATTTTTATTACTTCAAACATAAAAATACAAGAGAAAATAATTAATAATTTCAATTTTGTTTTTCAATATTTATATTTTGTGAAATAAAGGAGGGTAAATTTAGATTTTGTTTATCTGAGCTTTAGCCTATTTAAATGCCTTCACCCAGGACATTTGTGGATATGAGAAAAACTTTCTGGCTAACAAAAATCTACTTTTTATATGAACTATAAGATGATAAAGTAAGTGGCATTTAAAAAAATTGGAGATTCATCAGTCAAATTCTTACTAACCTTCTGTATATAAAAACAATACTATATAACAAAGTGCTAACTTGAAGTAACAAAATTAAAAAGATATTTTAGTGTTAGATGTTAGTATTTATCTAAAAATGTAGATTGTGCATGTGTTTTGGACACACGTATCAAACTCTCAGGAAATAACTTTTTCCTGGGGCATTAAAACACATTTTTTATAAATTTCCATAAATTTGATATCAGAGTCAGCCATTATTTTCTAAATAGACTAATGCAAAGTCTCGAGCTGAAAAACCAAAAACTAAAAAAAAAAAAAAAAAAAAAAAAAAAGAAAAAGAAAAGAATTAAAATAAAAAGCAATGGCACTACATCATGATGTCACCGTTATTAAAAAGTAAACACCTGCATGCTACCTTCAAAGAAAAATAAGTTTTTATGCTTCAAACCTTTTTCATACATACCTTGTACTGTGCCTATGAAGGGAAAAAACACAATAAGATTTTAATGATTTAAAAAGCTTTAGAAAGTCACAAGAAAATTAAAATTCTAAAACAAATGCAAATTAATTTTTTGGATTTTCTTTTTCATAGAGGTGGGTATTTATATATATATATATATATAAAAAATAATCTAATACTGACCACACTATACAAAATGTTTTCGAAAAGAACTCCAACATAATAAACCCAGAAAAAAAAAAAAAAAAAAAAAAAAAAAAAAAATCAAATTTTGTTATTTTGAAAATCATACATGCATAAATAACAATATATTTTTAAATGTCAAAAAAAGAAAAAAAATGATTACAGACTGTAAGTGAAAATATGGAAAATTAAATACTGAAAACATAGAAATGAGATTTGTTGCAGACCACAAAACAGCCCCTATCTAAAAAAAAAAAAAAAAAAAAAAAAAAAAAAAATCAATGAAAACTGAAAGTAAAACTAATTCATTGGGCGGGGGGGAATAAGGGGGAGAAAAAGAGGGGAGAAAGAAAAAAAAAAAAAAAAAAAAGCAAGAAAATGGGGGAAAAAAATATAAATAAATTCAAAGGTTTCCTTCTTCCGGGATAAAATTACAAACTATTAATACATAAGGACAAAGCAAGTTATTTTTAATGAGCAACATCAATGAATCTTAACCAAAAAGATACCTCACTCTCTGAATTGTGTAATAAAGAATTCTTTTGTGTGTCAAGTCACCTCAATATGTAGGTAATTATGGCTCTCTGCAATTTTTTATCTTTTGCTGTTTTAAGTAAATTTGAAATTTGTACTTGTTCAGCTATTCATTCACATGAACACATGAAGCACATTACAAACTGTTTCACCCCTGCATCTCTTGCCTTCAAAATCTCTAGGTCCTCTTTCCTCATTATGTGTCCCAGAAATGTTATCCATCTCTTTTGGATTGTAAGCATAAGTCTCTTTGTTTCTAGTTTTCTTTAGAACTTCCTCATTGATCACATTTTCTGTTCATGGCATTCTTAGAATTTGCTAATAGATACAAATTTGTCACTTTAGAAACTTAATTAATTGAATTTACAACTTAACCCTTTTGTAGGTTATTTAAAGCCAGAAAATAGTTTTAGATTGTAAGAATTTTTTGAAAATTCTAACAATTTACTGATACAAGTCCTACTAATTAACCCCTAGCTGTGAGAGGAAGAAGAGGTGAAATCACTCCTTTTTCAAGAGTATTTGAAAATGAATATAATGAATCCAACTGTAGATTGAATAAAGGGTTTAGTTCTACTAGGCTGAAATCTCACTCACACCTTTTCACTGTCGAAACTGTTAAATATTGCCGTCTCTTCTACTCCAATAGCTTCATGTCTTGCACCTCTCGCCTGTGGAATTCCCTCCACTCTTCCTGTTTCCTTGACAGCTATAATCTCCAACTATTCAAATGTAATGTCAATTAACATCTCCAGATGCCCTGATCTATCCCCTATCCTTCTCTTCATCCTTTCCTCTATCACTCCTATTTGCTCTAGTTCCAACTCTCTGTAACCCCTTGCATGCACCTTGCTTGGGGTGAAATGCTTTAAAAAAAAAAAAAAAAAAAAAAAAAAAAGAAAAAATTGGAACTCTCTCCTATTTTCAATTTTGAGTCATTATCCTTACACCATTTGTATATCTAAGTTTACAGTATCTGGTATTTCTAAGCGATTATCCATCTAGGTATTGACTAGGCTCAATGTTGCTTAACTTTGATGATCGTATGAGAACCGGTTTTTAGAAACTTGAGACTAAGAATACATTAAAACATTTTTCTATTAACACTGGTGACCCCCCCCCCCCAACAAATTAATAATCTAACCAACTCATTTACAAGCCTATGAAGTTCATGTAGTTTTGTCTTAAGCAATTCTTTCTTGGTGGTTTACATATTTGCTCTATTTTTGCATGAAGTGATTTTATTTCTTTTATCAATTTGGAAAAAAGATAAAACAAGCACAGTTATCTAAGTTGTAAAAGAAAATTTAGATATTTCATTGTCATCTGATTAAAGTGCATTTAAACTCATTTATTTAGACAAAATGAGAAATAGAAATTTTTATTATACACTATTTACTCTGACTAGAGTTCTCATCTTGTTAGTTACAATATTTCAACTTAGTAATTAGATCTGCTTAACCAATACTTATCCACTTTTATAGTGTGGGTCCCAACCTTTCAATCAGTTACATGATAAATAAAATGGATTGCAATAAAAAAGAAAGAAAAAATACACAAGTGAGAGCAAAATGCCGAATATAAACAACTCTGAATTTTGCACAGCACTCATAAATCATTGCTAGTTTTTCATTAAGGTAAGCTTGTATTATATATATATATATATATATATATATATATGTGTGTGTTCTCATTGAGTTTATAATTTATCTTTTTTGTCAGACACGTTGTGGACTGAGGACATCAGTTCTCTCTCACAAAGAGACCTCATGCCAAAACTTAGCTATGAAGTTGTCTTTTACAACTACTTGTGTGAACTGTGATTTTCCACATTAACTCAACTTAGGATGAAAGACAGAAACAGGATCAACACTGCACCTGATATGCAATGTAGCATAGACTTCCTGTGTTCTCAACTGGAATCAGCTGCTTATGAACAAACAATCAGCCATCTCATTAAATGACATTTTTTTTCAAATATTATCTACTTTACCTTTGTGTCGGAATTTCCTTTCAATTTGTTTTTTCTAAAAGTAATAATTTTATATTCATACAAAGAGATAATACAAATAGATACATACAATTCCAATATGTGTAGATCATAAGAAATATATATATATATAAATTGTTGATGCTAAATAAATAAACCTAGTGAACAGAGTTTGTCTGATTTATTACACGTAGGTATAATGGTTGCAATGCAAAATGTGGTTTTTGTTGTGAGTAAAAGAAAAAGTTTGAAAAACACTTCACTAGACTGTTCTACTGGTGATCATAATACCACCTGGTTTAATTGAAGAGACATGCAATATCATATGGATAAATTAAAGATATCACATGGTATGGGCATCAGAACAAGATTAATCTACCTCTGTAGATTGAATGAAGGGTTTAGTTCTAAATTGCTGGAAGGTTATCAACTATGACTGATACCTGAAGAAGGTTAAAATGCAATAACCAACAAAGATGCAAACACTAAGCTGAGTAAATCTATATTTAATAATTCCTAATGTTCAAAATTCAAAAAATAAATTTTTACATATAAAAAAAAAAATTCTACAAACAAAAATTCTATATTTATAACTGCTAATAATAGCTGGTATCATAATAGTAAAATCATCATCAATTCTTGTGTGGGGTGTTTCTCTGTAGGTACATTAAGTCTGTAGTCTAATGATGAAAAAGCATTTATCTTACACAACAATCTCTTTCCTTGTCAATACACTTGATTTATATTGAATAAGTTATAAATATTAATAGATCAAATATATTTGCATGAAAGAAAGAAAGCTGCAGGAAAGTAATTGTTTATTCTTGCCTACATTTACCATAAGGAAAATATAAAACAGTTAAGATATTTTCAAGAAAGTAAACTTATACATACCATCTCGCTGGGCTTCTGTAGGCTCTAAACAGTTTACAAACAAACTGAATAGGACAAAGAATATTGTAGTCTTCATTTTTATCCAGAATGATGTGCTTCTAAAATCAGTCAATTACTGCTAGAAGAAAAAGAAAAAAAGAGTAACAATCAATATATAAAATTACAAGTTTCAAAACAATGTAAAATAAATTTAAAACAAATATAAGAGATGTTAAATGACTTGATAATATAAAAATCATTGACCAATGGATACAAAATAAATTTGGATTAGGCTTCAATAATAATTCAACTTAATTTTTTGCAGGGATACTATATGTAACTGTCCTTGCTTGAAAAAGGTTTCCTTTCTGACTAGGAATCTTCAATGAATTGTTTCTCATACTTTTCCAGATAGGAAACTACTTAAAAAAAAAAAAAAAAATTGAAAACAAATTTTCTTTGTGTTGCAAACATTAAAACATGATACAACTTTATTTGATAATCAACAAACTTGGTGTTTTAGCAATAAACGAAAGGGATATGCTCTTTGACACTTGAAATTCAATATAACGAAAATTTTTGTCCGGTTATAACAAGTTTGTTTATAAAAATTCACATTTAGGCACATTACGGTTTCTGTGGGTTATAAATGACTGTTTAAAATATTATTCTAGCCTTGAGAAAAAGAAGGATTTTGTATGGCTTCTTATAGGTGTTTGACTAGGAAACACTTGAAATGATTATGATAGAAAATATGTAATAAAATTGCAAACTGGATGCTCAGCTGGTTGAAAGGTAAAGAAATTATTAAAAAAAAAAAAAATTCTGACCACACTCATCAAAGAGCAAAAATGAAACCATCAGTGTTTAGAACTTCTGAATATTTTTTCCTTGTAAAAATGTATAACTAGTTTACAGATAATGAGTATTTTACAAAACAGAAATTTCTGTAACAATTGCTAAATTAATTGCATTCTTGATTTTACAAAGGGGTAAGGTATTGGTTCATGCTCTGGAATTGACCTTCTCTACAAGAGCAAGGCAAAAAATAAAATAAGGACTACTTTTGTCAGCTTATTTACCAATAAAATGAGGAAGGAAAGAAAATAATACTGATTACTTGTCTGCCACAGATGAGATAAAATTGTCTTTTTCGAAAAGATGCCAAGCTTTAATTACATTTCATGTTAAAAGATTAGCAGGGTAAAAATAGAACAAAAGGAAAAAGAAAATTCATTATGCTATTAGTAGAATTTTTTGAGGAAAAAAAAAAAGCCTATAGAAGATATTTCAAATATTTTAGTTTTTCTTATGTAATTTCAATAACAGGAGTGAAAATATTTATTTAAATTGGAAGGATTTAAAATTGTATGAAAAAAAAAAAAAATCCCTCAAACTTCAGCTACAAGTCAGACTACTGCAAGATTTTGGAGGAATTAAAATTGTCTGAATAGTTTCTCATCCAAATAGTATAAAAATTGTAGATACACTCAAAAGGTCAATAATAAATGGGAAGTTAGAAATGCTTTTAAGGTTGAAACAATTTACAGCCTTTTGGCAAGAGATTCAACAATTTTGCCAAGCTATAGTGTTAACCCAAATATGTGCAAGTTCTTTTCAGATATCAAAAGACAAAAGCTAAAATCAAAATGAATGAATACTTAAGAAAAAAAATAGACAAATGAATCTAAATGAATCTCAGTTTATTTCAAAGTAATGTCATTGGAGAAAAATATATGTGTGTGTGTGTGTGTGTGTGTGCATATAAACTATTTTCAGATAGAGTGTATTGGTAAAGGAACAAAATGAATAAAAAAACAAGAGGAAAAGAACAGTTTTTTTTCCTCATCTTTTTATTCACACACACACACACACACACACACACACACACACACTTACTCTTAATAAATATACATTTGTTTCTCACTGTTTGGTATAATTCTGAGTTTCATGCACATGCCAATCGTCATGCACAAATTGAAAACTGACCATTGTAAAATTTGATTATTATTAATATTTATAACCTACAGTTAAAATAGTGGAGTCATCCATTTACTTATGATAAAAAAAACACACACACACACAAACTAAGCATGAGTAACAAGAAATACAAAAATAATACAGCTTTCTCAAAATATTAATGGTAAATAAAAGATAAAGCCCAATCAGATATTATAACAGAAATAGTGGCAAAAAATAAATCTTATAATGGTAATGGAAAAAGATGGAATCTTTGACTTTTAGAAAAACTGACCCTTCTAAGAAATAGAGAGAACTCAAACTTACTAAATAAAAAAGTGAATTAAAAAGATCACATGTAAATAAATATTTTGAAAAATGTTTAACCACATATGTACACACATACATTTTATAATAAAAATATAGTTTTAAGGTATGCTATATTTATGGGTAAAAGTGCTCAATATCAGAGAGAGAGCATGTGTAAATATAATGCTGAGCAGTGACAGTCTGTTTCATGCCTGAAGGCCATCTGAATATTGCTTTCAAGCATGAAACAGGCTGTTCCCACTGTGTGGACCCCAGTTTTCATTTTATATATATTATACACACACGGTGAGGGGGGGAATATTTGTACACATACAAAATTTTTAATTAATTGTATTTCCAAATAATGAATACACATACTTTTTATATAATTAACTGTATACAGACGCACAACTAAATATGCATAGAAAACAGAAAAAAAATTTGATTTAATAGAAATAAAATCCCATTTATCTATATTAATGGGTGAAAAAAATATTTGTGCAATACAATAAAGAATACATATACAATACTTTGTAGAATAGACATTATTTGCTTCTACAGCAACCAACATCTTAATGATTTGGAAATTTTAGTTAGTATTTTGTTCCACTCTTCTTTGCACTGACTTTACCATTTCAGGATATTTACATTATTTTCAGCAAACTATTTCTTTGTAGATTTTGCAGCATGCTTAACATCATTATCTTGTTGGCGGTTCCAATCAGGAGGAATTTCAAGATTTTCAACTGGAATCATTAAATTTGCTTCCAAAATATTTTGATATGCTACCATCTATTACTGATACGTTTTGCAAAAAAATCACCAAACCATGATATCTCCACCACCAAATTTCACTGTTGAAACTGTGTTCTTTTGTTTGAAGGCATCACCATCTTTCCTCCATACATGATTTCAAGAATGACATCCAAACTCAATTTTGGTTTCATCTGTCCATAATAATCTTTCCCAATATGATTTTTCATGATCTTTATGTTCACAAACAAATTTCAACCTGGCATCTCTGTGTGTTTTCAATAGCAGTAGAGTTTTCGGAGGGGAGATTGTTCCTATGAATTTCATTGTTTATTGTCCGTTTAGTGACACAGATTCCTGATGAAAGCAAATCATAATGCGACTCTTGATAAGTAACCATTGGATTTTGTTTAATTTGGTGCATTAATTTCCTCAAAAATCTTGAAGAAATCTTCCATGGAGCACCTATTCTTCTTTGGTTTTCAACAGTTTTGAGTATTTTATACATTGCAATGAATGAACTAATGGTAGTAAATGGAATATTCAGGTTGTCTGAGATTTTCCTTTAACTTTGACCTTCTTTCCAGAGCTTAACAATCAGTTCTTTTTGCAAATTTGTCAGTTCTTTACCACTTGCCATGATGATAACCTTCTTACATGAATATCAATTACAGAATGTTCAGTTTGTATTTTTTAGGCTTTAAAAAAATAAAAATAAATAAATAAAAATAATAATAATATCATTGGAATAATCTAGAATATTAAGGCAGTTTTAAAATCTGAAATTTGCATTGTACATTAATTTTTTGACCCATTAAAATGGATAAAGATTTATTTCTATTAAATCAAATTTTTTGTTTTCTATGCATATTTAGTTATGCATCTGTGTACAGTTAATTATATGAAAAGTATGTTTATTCATTAGTTGGAAATGCAATAAATAAAAATTTGTATATGTACGAATATTTATTTCCCCCTGTGTGTGTGTGTGTGTGTGTGTGTGTGTGTATATATATATATATATATATATATATATATATATATATATATATATATATATATATATATATATGATTTACATATTATGAATATAATTAGTATGTCTGTGTATTTTTTGTATACAAGTTTATGAGATAATGATATATATTTTTATACATCAAGGACAGTATTAGGGAAATTATATAACAACGTGGAAAAAGTTTACTTGTGACATGTTTCGTCCTTCAGGACTTCATTGGACTAAATTTATTATGTTGGTGTGTCTTCTTTCCATCACTTTTGTAAGTAGGTATCTACACTGTGATATTAGAATATCTGCCAGGAATGGTGAAATATTGTAAGAGCCAGCGCGCAAATTTACTGCAGATGACCTTATGATTAAGGCATTCTCTAGACATTTACATTGTAATGAATTATTTTCTCCTTTGATCATTGTAGCATTTTTTATGTCAAAGTTGTGGTCAGTCTCGTTACGGTGGACAACTTATGCATTTAATGTATTATTTTGTAAAATGTCCCTTTTCTGTTCATATAAGCTTTTATTTAGATTCCTTGAGGTTTCTCCTATGTATTTTTGTAACATTATTACAGGCAATGGAGTAAACTGCTTCAGGTTTTAGCTTATTGTTTTGTTTTGTATTGACTAAGTCTGTTATTGTTTTGAATGTAGTAGTATTTGTATTGAGTTTAGATAGATTATTTTCAATTGTAGATGTGATAGAATCAGGAGGGTCTGTTTTTTTTCTTTGTTTTGGAATATTTTGTGTGCTTTTTGTTTTGAATTGAATATAAAATGATTAAGGTACTGATGAATTTTGAAAGGGTTTTCAATGTAAGTAATCCAAGCTGCATCTTAGAGCTCTTAGGTAGAATCCAATGATTATGCTGGATTTTATTTTGTTGTTATGATGGGAATAGAAATTTATTAGATTGTTTTTGTTGGCTGATTTCTGGTGGACACAGAGTTTTAAATTGTTGTTAACACAGTATAACTTGATATCTAGGAAGGGTAAGGAATTTTGTTCTTCCATTTCATATGTAAATCCTAATGTGGCAGACATGAGACAGAACCTGGGA